GTTGGCTATATCGCAGGGCCGAAAATGAAATGGTGGATGTCGCCCGCGATATTTCAAGCCGGAAAATCTCGTATAATATGTAAAATATTTACATTAAATCATACATCGTTATATTCGTTTTAAACAGCGCTACAACTTTTATTATATCAAAATATCTACATTATTATAAAAAAATTATACATATCTCTCCGTTCTTTAATACAGATAAATTTTGTAATCAACCACTATACTCACAATAAAGTTCAGTTAAAGCCATTTAATTTCATATATATTTGTTATAGTCTATCTCTTTTAGTTTAAAAGATAAAAAGGAGTGGCCACTTCTAGGTGGGGCATCCTGTATATATATATATAATGTCTCGATATACTCGAAATGTCTAGTACATTCAATGCAATTCAATTGTTCAATTGCGTATCGGTTAATAAAGTGTGATATGTTAAAGTGTGATACGTTGAAACGTTTTTGTTTTTAGTAATAATATTTTACAAACTGTAATACATTTTCGTTACTACAATAATACAATATCTTCAATTGTCATTGATGGTTAGCGATGAAGTTCATTTTTGAAATTTCCCCAAAAAAGTAAACAAATAGCGTTAAACCCGGAGAATATGAGCTAACCACAAAATTTATCCACCACGTTCAATCCATCGATTAGGGAATTGTCTGTATAATACATGACGTGCTTGTGCATAATGCGCAGAATAACTGGTACCAACATTGTTGGGTTTAATAAAATAGATTTTCTAACAAAAGTAGTATATATTTTTTAAATAAAAAAATATAAAATACTTCTGTCTTGTCAATGATCAATCAATGAAATACGACTCAATTATATTAATATCGATTACTACAGATTCATTATATTAATTCATTATATTAATATTGCTTAATTACTTAAATTTCGTGGCTACTGATAATCCGTCTAATAAAACTCATATATTTTTTGCTGATTATTAATGCATATTTTTTAAGTTTATTTTTCTGTGATTTGTAAATATATTTTTATCAGTGAATAAAACAAATCTAAAAATTAAATTTATCATGAGTAATTAACAACAATCAAAGGCATGTGAAAATCATATAATGCTGAAACATTTCAATCTGTATCGCTTTATTTTTTAATCAATTATATTATATATTTGCATTGATCATAATGGATAACATTTCAAATATTATTAATAATTAAAAATATCTGAATAATAATTATTTTCAATTTTGATTCTATATAATATTTTTTATCACATTTTTAATCATTGTTTTTAATCATTTGTCATTTCGAATTTTGGAATAAAACGTTATATCCCTTTTAAAAAATTTAAGACAATTTTCGTTGAAAAATAAAGATAGTAAAAATTTACCAAATTATAAGTTCTTTTTAATGCGATTTTTGTTTAATATATTTTTTCATATAGTAAACAATTATGAATAGTTTATGAATAATTAAAAGTAGTCACATGTTAAGTAACTTATTCTGTATAACTTAATTTTTTGTTTTTTTTATTACATTTTTATTTGTTGTATACAAATTTAAATACTATTGTATGTATTTGATATGTTTTTTTCGGTATTTTTATTGGATAAAAATGTATTTGCATTAGTCATATATTTGAAAAATTCATGAAGTACGAAGGCGAATGGTAGATCAGATAGAACCATCATAAGATATATCAGTTGCATTAGAATCGAATAATATTTGAAACTTCGAACTTTGCTATCTGTCGGAGAAAATGCTCAGTACTCGAGAAAAACAAAGGATGCGATAAAATTCGAATTCGATATTGGCTGCATGACTTTAATTACGATATACCGGATTATTTATACATATTTCTTATCTGCAAGCTTTTATCGTATTTTATTATTGACGGATATTACACTGTAATAATAATGAAGAAAAAATATCGATTTATTGTATGACAAAAAAATATTTCGATATATGCATAATTTGAAGAGATCGGCAAATTATAGAAATTAAAAATAATATTATTTTGGCTAGAATATACATTATAAATATGCGGACACACACACACACACACACACATTGGAATTACAAATAATAAACTCGTAAGGTCTGTATCTTCGTTAATCTTTGTCAAGATCTCGGTTAATCGATTTTATAAAACTGTCAGATCAAACTTTTGCTTGTTGTTCATCCTTCAAGAATATTACAGTGTCAAAATAAATAAAATAAATGTACTTGTAGAAAGAAAATCACTCTTTGTTGTACGTTTCAGAAATCAGATTTATGAAATTCCCTGATATTATCGTTGCTCTTTATTAAATAATGGTTTCGCAATATTAGGGTATTTGATCTTTAATCATTGTTGTAAGCCTGACAGATTCAGGATCCATTAATTTCTTTTAGTATTATAGTATAGTATTATACTAGACCTTATGAAGTAAAAATATCAGCGAAATCTTAAGATTTTTATGGGAAGTAATAGAAATAGTACAATGTGTAATATAAAAAATCAGAAATTTGAAAAAAAAAATAATATTATATAATCACATTTCTATGTATTAATTTCGATATTTAGCAACTATCTCATAATATCGTGATATTTTTATACATTATTTTTGTAAAGTCGATGATTGAACTTTTCATTTTTCACTCCAAGTTTTATTATATTAACTTATTCAATAAATACAAATGTACAAATCAATGTACATAATTAATATAATGATACAACAAAGGCGTTCAATTAATAAATAAAAAATGGAAATAAAATTAACTTTTTTTCAAGACTCGATAAATAAAGAGATAAAAATTATTCTATTAGAGAGATGTGTGTATATGTGTATATGTCCATGTACATATCGTGTATTTTCATTTATTTCGGAGATCAGAAAAATCACGGGATGAAAGTAATATCCTCTTGTTATATTTATGTTTTCATTAAATGACGAAACAATCTAAGCAATATCTGGATTGTTCGTCGTAATCAGGCATGTAATCCTGACAAATGGAGTATTTAAAATGCTGTACGTCGCAACCGTGGAGAATATAAAAGCAAAACGAAGACATTTTACCGAAGATTGTGCTGGCGGCTTATTTATCGTAAAAGAGTCTGGTAACTGATGCCAGTGTCTGAGATTGTCTGATAAAAGTGTAAGTTTTCATACAAATGAGGGAAATGTTCTTTGATCAATTATGAAAGTTTTTATAGAAATAATAATAAAAAATATAATATCGTATATCAGATAAGTTTACTCGTAGTAAATTTTTATGATTCGCGATGTTCATTGTTGTCAATATCAGTAAATGTGAGGATATTAATTTACACAAGATGTATTAAATCCGAAAATTTATATATATATATATATATATATATATATATATAATATATATATATTATGTCTGATATAAAAAAACATAACAAAGAAAGGGAAATATAATGAAAAACTGAATGCATGCTGTTTCTAGTAATAAACTTAAGAAAAACGAATTTTCTAAATCTAATTTATCATTTTCTAGTAATTGGTACAAAAATACAAATCTACCCATTGAATTTTTATGCTGATTTGCAATATTGCACGCCAAAAAGTAGAAAAATTAATCCTCGACATATAACAGCGGTTCTTCAGGTCTGTAAAGTTAACACTCCGAAATACAAATATTTACAAAATTGATATGATGAAATTTGTTTAATTTTTTTATTTGTTTTTAATTTTTTTGTAAAATAAACAAGAAACAATTGTCTAATAAATGTGGATAATCGAATGACATATCAATTTTGTAAAAATTTGCATTTTGAAATGCCAACTTCATTGATCTCAATTCCTCAGTCATATGATCAACGAGTGATGAATAGATTGCGGTGCTGTATATACCCTCATTATCATATCACACACGGGATTCATCATGACTATTATCACTAGGGCGATGAGACAATGTAATAGTTAGTAACTTTGTTTCATATGACCCAATATATACATGTCTACTCTTCAGCCGTCCAAAGCATGCTAGTCGCAACATTCTCAATAGCTGATTAAATTAATCATCACTGGCTAAAGTGAACTCATTGCATGTATAATTATTTCGATCAAAGTGACGTAAACAAAATGATGCAAATTGGTGATGATAGACGAATGTAAAATCAAACAAATTATGCCATAAAGCAAACTTTTATTACAAAATAAATGATAATTATAATTAACAATTCACGCACACATATACATATACATGTTTATCTATGTACTTTATTTTGAAAGTTCGGTATAAACATGATTTCGGTATAAACACTAATTAAATGATGCGATTACGATAATTAAATTGGCAAATAATTATTCCATTATAATGCAAAGTTTATGGCTAATTAGTTGAAAATGATAATGGAACGATAATTATGCGGTTAATAAAATGTAATAATAAATTGACAAATAATTATTTTATCAATTTTACTAATTATTTTAATAATTTATCAATTTTGCTTAAATTTTGAAACACACAAAATGACTGGGATAAATACAATAGAAAACTTGATTGAAAATTAAGACAGAAACATCTACATATCGATTTGAAATCGAATCACGCATTTTTGCAAATGCTATTTTTGCCATATACGGATACAGTCAAATAAAATAAAATGAGATAAGTTAGATACGATATGAAGTAGAGATTTTACGATAAATCGAGGGCTTGGAATAATTTAAGACTAAGTCGCGAAAAGAGTAAATTTTTAAGAAGAAACTTCAATTTGCTTATTCACGATCCATAATTAGTATTAATATACTCTTATTCGAGAGAAGGAGAGAAAGATTTTATCAGGATCTTTTCTTTCTTCTGAAAAATTTATTTAATAATTTGATTTTAATATAACATTTTTAACCTAAAAAGACATATCGTAATTTAAACAAAGAAATTGCATTATGTTATATATTAAAAATCATTAAATCAATAAATTTAATCAGTAAATTTTTTAGAAGAAAGAAAAAATTTTTAATATAATATTTTTAAACAAAACAATTACAGAATATATAAACTTGTATAAGGACTCACCGAGAATCAAGAGAAGCAGATCAGATATTGCTAGATTGAACAGATAATAATTGGTAGCGGTTTGCATGACGGGATTTCGTCTGATCACAATGCAGGTAACCACGTTGCCGAATACTCCGGTGACAAAGATCATGACGTAGACGAGGGTGATCGGCAAGACAAGTTTTAACGGTAGATGTTTCGGACCCCAGATCGATTTTACATAATCGGACTCGTTCAGATTCATCAACTCCGTAATATTGTCGATAATCATGAGATATCGGCCCGAAAATTCCATAATTTACGCGTTTCATTAGCCCGATCGACCGTTTTTTCCAGTCAATAGCGTTGCCGGTCGCTCTATTGAATTAGTCTTTCGTCATCATGCGATTCTGTGAAATTATCCTGGATATGATGATTTGTTCTTTCTTTTCTTAACAATCATTATTTCTCATTTTATAAAATTCTTATCTCGAGCAACGCGCACAGAAACTTTACACATTTCATTTCCTCGATTCCCAACGACGATTTATGTCGATTCGAATATCGCGCGAACGTTGAACCACTAACCATTGTTTTTTTCTCCTAAAATAAATTTTACTAAAAATTAATTTTAATAGCGCCAATATTTTATAAGAATTTTATTTAGATTAGCTCGTTTATTTTACCGAAGAAGTTACGAGATACGCGGGATGAAAAGTGCTCCACTCAACAGACTGTGAACAAGTGACGCTCTCGGAGCGCTCCAGTCTTCGCTGTCGGACCACGCGCCCATCCACTACGCATCCAGCCCTTAACTTTAACCCCTTCGAGAGAGAACGCTGCGCCACTCGTCCAATAGTATCCTGCTAATTGCTCGATGCATGCAAAATATTCCAAATATTCGACGCATATTGTTTTAACGACGCGGTACTTTGTAATAATCCTAGTTGAATGTAATATTGGAGCGATTTATTTTATAATCAGATAATTAATTAAATTTACTCCAAAAATTCTATACACAGTGATGATTCATTATGTTAGCAGTATAATTAAGAAGTGAATCTATACAAAAAAGTAATAAATTGAAAACGTACAATATAATCCATAGGAAATTTTTATAGGAAATTGATTCTTTAATAAATTGAGTTTGAAAATTGAGAAATATTGGTAATATTTCTTCGTTTTGAGCTTATATAACTTTCATTGAATCACATATTCATGACTTTTTCACTTCACAGAGATTTAATAACAATAAAATATTTTATTTAGGAAAGTGTGTGTGAAAAGAATTTAATGTTCTTTTATATTAAGAACATGACTTTTTTGTAATTTTTGCAATTTTTTTTATTTTCTAAATAAAATATATTAATATTCACATAATTTAATAGTCGTTATTGAGATAGATTGGATAATTATATTTCGCAAGATAGTTAAAAATTATTCCAACTTAAAGTGTAACAAAAAAATATTTTTAAAAATACTTTTAAAAATAAAAATGTTTTTTAAGCTAAAAATTTAAATTAAAAATTTCTTAATTTTTCAAATCGAAAATTTCTTGCATATGAAAACTCGAAAAAAAAATTTATTTTATATTCAACTAATTTTTTTTATTTAAAATAAATATATAAATAAATAAATATAATTTTTTTTATTTAAGGAATTTTCCAATTTTACTTTATCTATTTTAATCACAAATAATAAGCCACTTGATATATTATTATAAAGACAGCTTGATTTCTTTTATGCGTGTTTGATTCAACGAAAATACGAAAACTTTAAAATATATTCATAACTTTTAATATATATTTCAGTTGAAGTTAAATAGAGAATGATTGTATCACTCATGTACACAATCCCTATGCGTAATATAACTTTTCTAAAAGTTTTATATTTTGTGAAATCGTGAATGATATATCGAATATTCTTTATAACATTTTAGTAAGATCTTTATTCAAATAAAATTTTTATTCAGAAAAATAATTGGAGATGCAGATTTAAAAAAAAAATTTTATTCGTTGTGAATTTTTTATTCGCCTTTGGCATAAAATTCATTTAATTTTTCTCCTAAAATTTCTAAAAAATTAAATATATTGATCTTCGTTTTTAATAAAACATTAAACGATCTGATGTCACTTACATTCGCAAACTATCCATCTTATTTGTTACACATAAAATTAATCCTTTCAATGTGGGAACTTGTTCATTAAAGTGGATTAAGAATATGCAAAAAACTGTTTCATAAATTTATAAAATAATAATACATATTATAATTTTCGAGACTAAATGAGAATTTATTATTAAATTTTCAAAATTTAAAATCCAATGTGATGAACAAAAAACATGAAAATATGTATAAAAGAAATTTTGACTCATTACATAAAAATAAGAATTATCGAATTTTTTAAATTTAAAATAATAAATAAGTAAATTAGCATATTAATAATATTTTGTTGCCTCCATAGTAGTTGAGTTAAAATAATTTTATGATCTCAGAATATGTCACAAAAAGGATTTTGTATTTGCCAAAAATCTTTTTATTCTTTTTCAAAATTTTTAAATTATGTGCATACGTAGGCACACATATACTTCCCCCTCTCATATACTTCTTCATACACAAGAAATATTTAAAATATAATTTTTTTCATAGCGCATATGCGTCAACCACACTAGAAGTCCATTTCTCTTGATACATGACATATATACGTCATCCACACTGAAGGGGTTAATTCTTGATAGCAACCAAGTCCTTTACAAATACCTTAAAACATTATTTTATTTATATCTTAAAAATTATTTTATTTATTACCTTAAATTAAATTTAATAATTGATAAAACTTCTGTAGAAAGCACTGCCACAAAAATGAAGAATTATAATAATCTGATGCAATTTTATGTTACGTACAAATTTTTGTAACGCTTATAATTAGTAAATAAAGTAAAATATATTCAATATAAATAAATCATATTTGTAAATCATATCTGTTAGTATTGTATATAAAAGTTCTTAATTTGATGAGGTAAATTTTTGCTTTTTACTTTGCGTTGTTTTATTTTAAACCGCTTTGCTAGATATATTACATTATATATTTTATATAATATATTTATATACTCATATTTTGTTAGCGAAGTACTTTTCTATCTGTGTGCAAAGACCACATTCGTCATTTTACTCGAATAGCGTACATATAATTTACTGAACTGTAGGCGTACTATTACACGTGTGTGTATGTGTGTGTGTGTTGTAATCATGTTATACATCATATTTCATAACGCTTATTGCTGGAATGACTTCGCAGATATAACCGACATTTTGCCTTTCATGCAAGCAACTGCGTATGTTTGCAAATTACCATCCAGTCTATTAATAAGCATGTCATTTGACGAATTTATATTGGTATGTAAATATGAAGTTTAGACCTGTACATGACACCAGAACTGTGTGTTTTCAAATATTGACTTTGATCTTGACCTACATCTTACAATTAGATGTAATCAGAGATCTTTTCGTGACACATCCAATGTACGTGTTAATTATAAAAATGTGATAATTAATTATTTTGTAAGTCATTTTATATTAAATATAACTTTTAGATACATGATGTTCTTTGTTCTTGTAACCACATTTTATAAAAAAATTATATTTATATTTATAATGTACTAAAGTTATGAAATTGCCGAATAAGAAACTGAGATTTTCATATTTTTTATCTCTCTTACGATTAAAAATTATTAATTTCATTTTAGGAATATTATTTTTGCCAATTTTATGTATCTTTACTACATTTTTTTGTAGTTTTTAATGTTAAATATATTAAAAAATTGTATTTTATTTTTAAAATAACTTATTTTTGCAATATATATTATAAATTTATCTTACATATATTATATATATTGAATTGTGTTCAATTCAATAGGTATCTTTCTCTCTGATATCTTTATCTTTTATTTTATATAAAAGTATCTAAACTCTCGAAATACATAAAACTTTATTTGCTAAGAAAAAAAATGTTTTCACATGTAAATAAAAATGTTCTATTGAAAAAAATATTTTATTTCTCGTATGAAATGCTACTCTATCTTTAACAACTTGTAAAATTACACTAGAAATATTAAAAATGCGAAAGCATTTATTCTTCAAAAAATATTTTAATAATCGAAGGAAAAATTCTCATATTACAGTTTATTCATGTTTCATAAAATACAATATAAGTGATTTTTTATTCAATTTCGATAATAATGATTTCTTATGTTCAATAACATATTAGTATTAAAATTGTGATTCACATTGGAGAGAATACACATACATATACATTTAAATATACCATAAACGAAAGTTCCAAATGGAAAAGTCATGGAGAGTTTATAATATTTCAACATTAAGGAAGTTAAATAATACATAAAAGCAAGCATAACTAAATCTTAATCTTGAAATGAATTTCTGTTTAACACATCATAAATTCAAAGAGAGTAACTAACTGCGGATGAGAGCGAGAAATAACTTTTGCGGAAATATTAATTCTCAATATATGATACCGGAACGCATGCTACGAATTTTTAACTCGCTAAATATTCACTAATCATATTTTAACAATATCTCGCTTCTCCTTCCCTTGCTATTATCTTCCCACATGTATCGCATATCGTTGGATGTTTAATAATGAATTAATTTGAATAGAGTGTTATCGAAATAAATTATTGCTTTATTTACAAAAAATAAATTGTTATTTATAAAAAAAAATCAGGTTTTTTACTAATTATTTGTTTCATATTTTAAAGAAATTTTATTCTCGCTAAAACTGATTAAATCAACTGATTTATTTAATATAATTTATTTTATTTAATATAATTCATTTAAGGTTCACTTACAGTAGATAAAATCAGAACAAACCGAAATAATTTCGGCGAATTTAATTTCCCGTGCAACATAAAATATTCCATTCTTCTCAATTATTACTTTTATCGTTATTAATAAATGCGTTCAATGTCATAATGGCCGAATTAATAATGGCTTACTTTGATTTGAAAATTTATTTTAAAAATTTAAATTATGTAGGATTTTTAGTAATTTTATATGATTTTATTTTACTAATTTATCTCGAAAACACAAAAATACAAAAAAATATAATTTAAATCATTGTTTTGTCATAAATTTTGATGTAGAGAATTTTTGCATTTTTTATAAATTATATTATAATTAAAACACAATTTGAAACCTATGCATTCTTAATAAAATCATCATTATTATATATGTATATGATCATGTACGTATATGTATATAATGATTTCATTAGATTTTATTTTGTAAGATTTTATGGGTTTCAGCGAGTTTCAATTCTGGATATAAAATTATTGTCTTGACTTAAAACTTTCAGACCATATCGTGGTTTTGTTTGTTGACTTATACTGCTGATTGTCGTGATGACTTTTATCTTTTGAAAGGAACGAACGAATTTCTTATTTATTTAAATAGCATTCTTTATCCCCTCCGAAGAAATATCTGTATTATATGTATATGCATGACCGATTTTTCCATTCATCTTTAAACTACTCAATGCATTTAAGTGAATTTCTTTTTGCTGTCTACAAAATTACATAAGAATTTCTTCGAGGAAAATCTGATATAATCTAAGTATTACTTTCTCTTCCGTAGGAATATGTATAATTTTTTTACTGCAAATTATAATTCAAAATCTATCATAACTAAATAGATATTTTTTAAGAATCTATAAATATCATGAAAATAAAAAATATCAATACTGCATTAATTAAAAGAGTGCGCATTAACATTTTTTAATCATAGCTTTA